GTGCAGTCGACGCCCACTACTCATACATCGCATAGGAATAGCCAATACATGCGATACACCCTATCATATGACATAACACTTGACTTTCTCTTGCGAGTCGAGCCTATCATCCAGTGGTTTATCTCATGAGATAATTGTCGACACCTGTTGTCTGGCGAAGAATAGTGTGTCTGAAGAGATGATAAGCGCTGTCTGCCAGAGAAATTAGGCCATAAGTGCAGCTGAAAGGCCTTTCCATAAGGTTTTTATTACTTCCCTATTGATAGTAATTGTGTCACAGTATTAGCCATCGCTTGTCAACCGCACCACTAGTTTGGTATTGATAGTGATGTCTAAGACAATATGTATGACACAGATAGGAATTGGGATCAAAATCTCACCGCAAAACATAACTTATAATTAACTTAGCGTTAGATTCACGACTAAATCAAATGTCACTTTCATGTGAACCATAAGAATCCCAGAATCCGGTGATGAATAAACATAACTCATTAGTGGGTTAGCTGTAAATATCACTGAATTACTTCCAGTGCCAAACACACACAGGAGTCGTGACAACAAATCTCATTATACCATAAAAATTAGTTGTAATCACAAAATGTTTTATTCATTACACATATAATTATCGTCAGAAAAATATATAACTTATTATAGATTTTCATATAAGACTCCAATAAGCGCTCTCTTTATTCATTAGAAAATTCGGTCAAAAGTAAAACAAAATAATAGTTAAAATATAATTGAAAAAATAAATATATATTCATTGAAAACAAAAACTATTAGAAAAGTTATTCAGGTGGAATGTATTCAATACAACTCCTAGTGCTTTAACGGGTTGTTAACGGTGCCCGAGAATAGGATCATATTTTTCTTGTTATCGTATTTGGACATCAAGAGGAACATAAAGGGACGGTTAGCCTCGAACTTCTCCGGCATGTCGAGGGAACGGGACATAAAGCCAACCCCTTATAGGCGTTCAACAAAAAAAAAATTAAAACACAATTACAAACCATTAGTTTGTGAAATAGGTATCGCATTATGTTTAGCACACAAAGTTTGCAATAAGTTTTCGTATTGAAAGGGGGGGAAAGGCGTCACAAATACCTGTGGC